ACACACACACACACACACACACACACACACACACACACACACACACACGCCACAACTTCAGCTTTCACGGGCATCTCAGAGTGAGACAGTCGCCTCTGCTCACGAGTAAATATCAGTAAATCAAATGAAGTGAGAGAAGAAAGATCACTATGGAACACAAGACTCCTGTTTCAGTGCCTTTTTGCATTTCCAGTTCCTGCTTAGCAGGAGAGAATTGGGGTACCGGAGGGGAGCTTTCAGTCCGCCAAGGCTGTAGTGTCGGCCGGACCGCAAGGCGAGTGGAGAATTGAAGCAGCGATCTGGATAAATCGAGGGCAACGCGCTAAACGCTCTAGAATTGGACATATTTTGGCGGCGCGTGCTCGCGAGAATGGGTGCACAAAGGATGCATTATCCGTGTGATAGCTTCAATTCTCCACTTCCTTTGTGTGGGTGAGTGGATTGTCCTTCCAGGCCCGAGCCAGCCTCCGGCGAAGGATGTACAGCGCCAAGTCCCCTCCGTGGCGCATCCTGCTGGCTGGCGTTCGGATCCCTAGCCCCGCGGCGATTCCATCCCGGCGGGATCGGCGCCTAGCAAATCCGCCAGGCGCAGGTGGCCGATCTTCTTCACCTCGCCCAGGGCGGTGCGCAGCTCCGACTCGGGCTGGCAGTGTAGCCGGCGGGCTAGCTCCCGGGGCACCGCGGCGCGGTCGCTCAGGCGCGCAGCCAGCACGAACGGGAAGCCGAAGCGCTGGCGGTACTGGGCGTTGAGTCGCTGCAGCCGCTGCCGGTCGTCGGCGTCCAGGCTGGTGAGGCCCGCTTGGCTCTGCTCGCGCTGCGACTCGGCGGTGAGCGTGCCACGCTGCAGATCGCGGCCGGCTAGGTCCGGATGACAGCGCAGGATGCCCTCCTGGCCTGCGGAGAAGCACAGACACACACCGGCAGAGGGTTACCCCCTGCAGATCAGAAAGCCAAGCAGGGTCCCCGGGTCGTGGCGTCCTCCCTCTCCAATAACGGGATGCGGTCCCTCTGTCCCCCGCCAGGACCCGGGGGCGGGGCGCGAGTGACAGGTTTGGTCTTTCAGACCTAGGGGATCCTGGAAAGGAGGGGAGAGAGAGAAGGCAGTCCCAGAGCCTGGGAATTTACGACCTGCTCCGCCGAGAGCTGGGGAGCGATAAGAAGTCCAGGCTACTCCTATCTTTTCAAAGTCCTTTGCTCTCAGGGGGGCTTTGATGTTGAAAGGGGGCCGGATGCAAGGGCCTGAAGACTTCCGCCAAAAGTCCTGGAATGGGCTTCGTTCTGCCTCAAAGAAGAAAAGGCAGGAGCGGGGTGGGTCCAGAGGATAATATCCATGGGGCTTGACAAATAAATGCCTAGATTTTGTGACCCTAAGTGTGAGTTCTTGGTCTCCTGGATGAATAGCCGAAGGGTCCCGTGGATTAACAGAAAAGAAACCCATTTCACCGAAATTCTTCTGCTGTTGATGAAAGCTGCTTGCCTCTTTGTTATTGTTTGGGAGTTTTGTTTGTTTTGTTTTGTTTCTTTAATTATGACCACCCACTCCTCTGGGGTTGTGTTGTTACACCTCCTCCGACTGACCTCAGATCCCCAAAGAGCCCGCGCGCACGCGTGAGCGAAAGCTCTTGTTCTTGAGGCCTCACACCTTGGGAAAGCCTAGCTGTGACATCGGGGTTCTAACTCCAGGGGACTCCCGGGCGTTGTTTGAGCACTACTGTAAAGAACGAACTGGCCTTCCCGGGCTAGACAAGATCTCAGATGTGGCGGCCCTCCGTCAAAGAAGAAGGGCCGTGACACCTATTTTACCCACTCAGGAGAACTAAGGACAACTCACTTCCCCACACCCTGGCCCCTAATGCATGAGCGGTTCACGTCAGTAGGAAGTCCAGGAAAACGAAACGTTGAGATGCAGCTGCCTTTTTCTTCCATCTGCACAAAGCAGGTGTCTGTCTCTCTTTGGCAGTGGGACTAGGTGAGACTTGGTTGGAAATGGGAAATAGTTAAAACATTCTCTAGTAAGTTGTGTCTCAATGCTCACAAAGAGGAAAAAACCCCTTTAAATATGGTGCCGCCTCCTCTTCCTCAAGGGAGCCCTCCACCTCGCCCCCATAACAGGATAGACAGTAAAGCGGGAGCCAAAGCAAGCCCGAGGCCAGTGTCCTGAGAGCCTTGGATACGGAACTCCAGCTCCAGGGGACCTGACAATTTCTCCTGGCCTTCTTGGCCACGGCTGCGCACAAACAAGTAGCGTACAATCACACCCACATAAATAAAAAGAAAAGTTAAATCTATTTTTAAAAATACTCAGCGAAGGCTCGGGAAACAAACGTTAGTTCCCCTGCCCAAGGTCACTGAGCTGTGCACCTGTACCCTTCGCTCAAAGCCCACAGCCCCCTTTAATGACTTGTCTGTCCCTGCAAGGCTGGGGCGGGGGTCGGTCACCAATCCCACGCTTCCCCTCTCATGGGGACCCTAATTCCAGGCCACCACAATCAGCAGTAGTTCTTTCTCTGCAGTGGAGTTTTCCGTGTGGTGCGAAAATGTGGGTGTTAAATTCGCCACCTGGGGGACCAGGGGCTGGCGGTCGCCACTCAGGACAGGTTCGTCCCACATCCACCCAATCCCAGGCTTGGCAGGCAGCCGTGGCTGCCCCACGGGAGCAGCAGGGGAGTCGGGCACCTTTGCGCTACTGTGACTGCGCACCCCCAACCGATCCTTTCAGAGTTTCAAAGCAGCCTCTGGTCCCCTCGCCCAGGAGGATCCGATTGCATTAGTGCTGCATTAGTGCGTGTGCTCCGGGGTCAGTCCAAACTGCCATCCAAGTCGTTATTGGTGGGATTCTTGGGAGCCGGAAGTCTCTCTCTCTCTTTCTCTCTCTCTCTCTCTCTCTCTCTCTCTCTCTCTCTCTCTCTCTCTCTCTTTCCCCTTCTCACTGTCCTTCACAAACCTGCTGGCGCATGCGTGGTGCGCGAGCGGGCTGCCTAGCAGCGCCACCCCCCAAACCTTCTTGCCCTTACACCTCACTTCTCACTCCTCCTAGAGTTTATCTTCCCTCTTGAAAGCATCGCCTGGGTTAATGTTTGCCTAGGAGCGAGATGTGTTTTCCACTCTTGCAGAGAGGACAAGAAGGGGGAAGAGAGAAGAGGCCCAGAATAGGGTAGAGCAAAGGGCAGAAGAAAATACGCTAAATTAGCGGAACCGAAATTCACACACACACACACACACACACACACACACACACACACACACACACACACACACACATGCCTTTCAGCACATAGCAAGAAAGAACTGAAGCCTGGAATGGCGGCCTACCCAGAAGAAATAAAGCTGGATCGCGCAGCCCCAGACCCACCTCACTGCTCCAAATCACCGATCCCTTGGCTGCTGCAGAGGCTAGCACCCATCTCCCTACAGACAAACAGCAAGGACCCTCCCTGGTTCCCATCCACACTGTGTCTCAGTCGAGGTCCCCCCAGCTGTGGCCAGTGACCCCAGTCGGAGCCTGGAGACTGTGGAAGTCAGCCTGCATTCCTGAGTCTCCCTACGTGGGTGGCCCAATGCTGGGCAGTGTTTCTTACCATCTCACTGACATTCTGATTTCCCGTTATGTCACTGGGTGTCATGACTTAGGAGTAGGTGCTGGTAGGCATTATTTACTGGGAACACAGGACTGAGATGCCTGCATGAAGAAGACTTTCTGTGACTCCATAGAAGAGCCGGGCAGGGACAGTGTCCTCTAAGCAAGAGGCAATTGCCCAAAAACCCCATTAGGGCCACCTGTGCCCTGTGTCCTGACCAGTCAGTCATATGTCCCCACTCCTGGCTCAACAGATGGTCTTGTGTCGTTTAATAAAAACCAACTCCTTTACCAGTGTTCTTTTGTTTTTTTAAACTCGGTTATTTTAAAAAGCCCTTTTAAAATATCTATTTTTAAATTTTTGTGTGTTTACACACAAGTGTGTGCACATAAGCGTGAGCACGTGTGTGCTTGGTGCCCATGGATGAGGCATCCAGTCCCCTGGAGCTGGAGTTACAGGTGATTGGTTGTGAGCTCTGGATGTGGGTGCTGGAAACCGACAGAACCTGGGTCCTCGGCAAGAGCAGTAGTTGCTCTTAACCTCTCAGTCCTTTCTCTAGACACAGTGTCCTTCTGGTGACAGGGTCTCATCTAGCCAAGGCTGGCCTTGAACTCCTGATCTTCCTCCCAAGTGATGGAACTACATATATGCACTACCCACACTGAGTTTCCACTTGTGGTTTCTTTGTGTTTTTTTTTTTTGGGGGGGGGGGTTTTGAGACAGGGTTTCTCTATGTAGCTTTGCGCCTCTCCTGGAATTCACTCTGTAGACCAGGCTGGCCTCAAACTCACAGAGATCCTCCTGCCTCTGCCCTCCCGAGTGCTGGGATTAAAGGCGTGCGCCACCACCGCCCTGCTGGTTTCTTTGTTTTGAAGTGTGTGTGTGTGTGTGTGTGTGTGTGTGTGTGTGATATGGGTGCCCTTCACACCCACAATTAGTCCTCTCTGTTCAGAGTTTCAAAGCAGCCTCTGGGTCCCCTTGCCTTGGGTGCGTGCTCTCGGGTCAGTCCAACACATTTCCATTTGTGGTTTCTTTGTTTTAAATTGTGTGTGTGTGTGTGTGTGTGTGTGTGTGTGTGTGTGTGAGAGAGAGAGAGAGAGAGAGAGAGAGAGAGAGAGAGAGAGAGAGAGAGACTTGTGGGTGCCCATGCAGGCAAGAGAGCTCTGGTCCCATGGAACTGGATTTACCGGTGGTTTTGAGCCACCCGGTGGGTTCTGGGAACGGAGCCGGGATCCCTCGCAAGAGCAGTAAGTGCCCTTAATTAACCGCTGGGCATCTCTCCAGCTCCTGGGTCGGGCGTTTTGAGTTCACTTGTGTTTCTCCTTCTCAGACCTCACCTCTACAGGCTCCTGTATGCATTTCTCCACCCTCCCCATCCTTACCTCTCAGCAAATGGGAGCACACCGAGGACCACTCCTTCCAGATGCAGAAGTAGAGCCCTCATTGAACTCCGTTTCCCCCCACTGTTTCCCTATTTCTCAGGCCTGCTCACTTTCAGGTTGTTTACCTCTTCACTTCTGCATCCGGTTTACGCTATGAAGTCTCTGACCCCTCCCACAAACCAATCTGCCCTCATCAGAGTCAATTAATGACATCAGTCTAGCCTGAGCCCGATGGCCACGCCCTGGCACGGTCCCTCCAACCTTTACAGTTTGATCCTGGCTCTCCTCACCTGCCTGCCTTTGTCTGGCTCAGCCCAGGAGTTAGGACTGCAGGGAGACTCGCACCTCCCTTCTTTATTTACATAGTAAGCGCTCTTGCCCAGGGTTTTCTTTGGTTTTGTTACATTTTTCTTCAGAGACAGGGTCTCTTGTAGGCCAGGCTGCCTTCAAGCTCCATATATGGCTGAGGATAACCTTCCTCCCTCCATCTCCCAAGTGCTGGGAGCCTGGATTATGCTGAGTGCTGGGAATCCAACCCAGGGCATCACACGTCCCAGCACAGCCCTCCACCAACCCTCGGAACTCTGTCTCCTTCCCTATCATTCAATTTATTTTTAAATTTTGCTGCCAGGGATTTCACTCCGGGTCCCTGCATGTTAGATGCACACTGTCCCCTGGGCCACGCCCCCAGGCAGTGGATTGATTCTTCCACGACACCAACATCTACTTTGTCCTCAGCTTCCAACATGTTCCTTTCCTATGGGTCCAGTGGCACGTTCAGCATCTTCGTGTTGGTGCTTATTAGGACCAGAAGTAACAAGCTCCTGTTTTCTGCTTTATGTCTCTGTACCCCAGAAAATGACAGCACCCCCCCACAGCCACTCAGACTAAGTACTGAGCGGTTATGGTTAGCATCTGTTGACTGTGATCTCCCTCCCCGACAAAGCCTCCCACCTAACTCTTGCTGACTTTAGCTCTCCTCTCTTCACCAGCAGCTCCCCTCACCACAGTACACACAACCTGTTCTCTCACTTGTAACCATTGCGGTAGCATCTTGACCCATCTTCCTGTGACCGATGGAGCCTCGACACAACTTTTGTAAGACGTCCGCACAACGGTATTGGAATGGCAAAGACAGACAGACAGACAGACAGACAGACACACACACACACACACACACACACACGCACGCATATGGGGTGGGGGGAGATAGAAACAAAGACAGAGGAGAGAGAGAGGGAGAGAGGGAGGGAGAGAGGGGGGAGGGAGGGAGGGAGGGAGATTTGTTGCTGCAGGTTTGAGAGGTTGGCACTGGAGATGGGACCCACAGCCTTAGGAATGCAGCTTAGTGGTTGGTTTCCCCAGTCCACTCTAGCTTTGAACAGAGCTGAGCTGGTGCTCCAGGGGCTTCTGTGTATGTTTCAACCTTCCTTTCTTTACCCCGGCTGTCACCTTGCCCCTGCTTAGGTCAGTGAGAGTTGATTGGCTAGACAACGCGTTAGCAGGCTAGGCTAGAGCCCAATATTGATCCTGTACTGCCATCTAGTGGCCATATACACCATCGCCTACTCTAAAGGAGAGGTCAACCTCCCTTTTGTGCCAAAAATCCAGTTTTCTGTGAAAGGTAGAAAGTTTTTTCTTTTTCTTTCTTCCTTTTTTTCCCCCTAAAAGATAATTCATGGGGCTTCAGAGATGGCTCAGCGGTTCAGAGCACTGACTGCTCTTCCAGAGGACCCGGGTTCAATTCCCAGCACCCATGTGGCAGCTCACAACTGTCTGGAACTCCAGTTCCTGGGGATCTGACACCCTCACACAGACATACATGCAGGCAAAACACCAATGCACATAAAAATAAATGAATTATTTTAAAAAGATAATCCAAACAAATCCTTCTCTGGGAAGAACACTGTGTCTCATCCATCCACGATGATACTTGACTTTTGTCAATTTGACACAATCTATAGTCATCCATCTGTGAAGAGGAAACCCCAACCGAAGAATCGTTTTCACTAGATTGGCCTGTGGATATGTCTGTGGGGCTGTTTCTTTTTCTTTCTTTCTTTTTCCTTTTTTGTGAGAGGGTTTCTGTGTGTTACATCTCTGGCTGTCCTGGATCTCTCTTTGTAGACCAGGCTGTCCTGGAACTCACAGAGATCCTCCTGCCTCTGCCTCCCAAGTGCTGGGGTTAAAGGCATGTGCCACCACCATCTGGCTTGTCAGGCATTTTCTTAATTGTTAATTTGGCGAAGGAGGGCCCAGCCCACTGTGGGTGCTGCCATCCTTAGGCAGGTGGGCTTGGCCTGGATAAGGAAGGAAGCTGAGCAAGCCAGAGAAAGCAAGCTAGTAAACAGTGTTCCTCCATGGCCTCTGCTTCAGTTCCTGCCTCCGGTTCCTGCCCTGAGCTCCTGGCCCTGAATTCCCTCAACATGGACTGTGATGTGGAAGTATAATCCCTATAAACCCTTGTTCATGCATGTGTGATGTGCACACCACCTTTCTAATTTCGTTCTAGATTATCTAGAAAATCCGCCAGAAGCTATGGGAGTGATTTCTAGTTTGGCTATTTTCTTAAAAAACAAACAAACAAACAAAAACAAAACAAACAAAACAAAACAACCTTTAGACTGGGGTAGAGAGAAGGCTCAGAGGCTAAGAGCACTTGCTACTCTTGCAGAGGACCTGGGTTCAGTTCCCGGTACCCACGTCGGGTGGTTCACAACTGCCCATAGCTCCAGTCCAGGGCATCTGATACCTACTTCTGGTTCCACAGACACCAGCATTCATGAGCTGCCCAGATATACACTCTGCCACACACATAGTCACATAAATAAATCAATTAAAAATTCATGTCGGATTCATTATTTTTAAAATGGAGCCTTAAAAGACATTGAGTTTGCCTGGCGGCGGTGGCGCACGCCTTAAATCCCAGCACTCAGGAGGCAGAGGCAGGCAGATCTCTGTGAGTTTGAGGCCAGCCTGGTCTACAGAGCGAGATCCAGGGCAGGCTCCAAAGCTACACAGAGAAACCCTGTCTCGAAAAACCAAAAGAAAAAAGAAAAGAAAAAAAAAGACACCGAGTTTCCAGGGTTTTTTCCCCTCTGATAGAAATAATGTGCAAGGGATTGAACACAGCTCAGTGAGTACTGGCATTATAGGCCTGGGGCACTCTGCTGGGCTTCAGTTTGAGACACACACACACTTAAATTTTGAGTTTTACATGCTTGAGTGTTTTGCTTGCATTGTGTCTGTGCACACATATGTTCTTGGTGTCCACAGAGGCCAGAAGAAGACATCAGATTTTGGGAGTTAGAGGCATTTGTGAGCAGCTATGTGGATGCTGAGAACTGGTCTCCAGGCCTCTGGAAGAAGAGCCAGGGCTCTTAACTGCCAAGCATCCTCCAGCCCTCAGCCTGATGTTGTAACATTTCCCCCGTTCTTCCTAGGTAAGTTCTCTTTTGAGCACATCGAGGTGAGGATGGGAAGCCTCTGAATGTCACAGCTGTCCTGAAGGCAGCAGTCTGTGCCTGCCCCTCTGTGAGAACCCAGGGTCACCCTCCTGCCCGAGGTCCCCAAGGGCATGTCGGGCTTCTCTGGGAATCTGAGTAGCCTGTGAACGAGGACTGTGTGCCCTTGGCCTCCGTGCCATCCAGTCTGAACTTCTGCCTCTTCTTCTCCCTGCCCGTGACCCCAAATGCGTCAGGGCCCCGAACACACCGATGTGCGTCAACTTCTCTTCTGCCCGCAGACTCTTGGATCTGAGCGGATGCACTATCCTTGTTCAACCTGGTCCTTTCTCGTGAACATGCCCTGCTTTGCATCCCCCTCGGAGATATGCCCCCTGCCTTCTCTCTTGGGTCCAGGGCGTTGCTAAAGTGGACAGTGGGCGGCTGAAAGGGGCCAGCCTCGGTTTGCCCTTTGGCCTCTAACTCACCAAGGCCTTTGCCCCGTCCCTTGGTGACCTCCAGGCTCCAATGTTTATTTGCCATGCTGTCTTACCGGACACACTCTTAGGTCCCACTTAGAGTCTAGCACCTTGAAAGGATGTTTACTGACCCTTCCAATAAACCCAGCTAAGTCACTATAAGCAACAGGGCTAAAAGAATCTAAAATATTTTTATGTACGATACTGGAAATCGCTTTGTGCTCCCGGGCCTGAAGTCTTACCTGACCTTGGAAGAGCATCCATAAAAGCAAAAAAGTGATTCTCTAAGTCTTCCAAGTCAGAGAATGGACGCTGGGACCAAACAGCAGCTGCAATCAGAGGACATTTTTCAATGACGTTCCCAAACACATCCACAAATTCGCCGAAGTCCATGGAGTTGACCTTCTCTATGTCCATGGCTGAGAGCCTGTCCTCATCGAGTGACACCGTCTCTTTTTCATAGGGCTGTGTTTGCTGAACACACAGTTCGCCTTGTGCAACCTGGCTGAGCCAAACGCCTGTGGGTGGAGCCTATCCAGAATGCTCCCGCAATGCGGACACCCAGGTTTGAGGGTTTTGTTGGTGGCAGGGGGTGAGGTGTGATGGGGAGAGAACCCACACGTTCTAGACAAGCATTCTCCGCTGAGCTTTGTCCCACCCAGGCTTAAGGTCATGACCAAGAGAGCAGAGACTTCTGCATAGTGAATGTTTCCAACATAATCAGAGCCGGCAGGGGCCGTATTTCACTGGACAGAAGCGTGGTGGTGGTGTCATTAACATCTTATTTTATTTCACACGCGTGTTTTCCCAGCAAGCCTATCCGTGGACCGCTTGCATGTCCGGTGCCCACAGAGGCTAGAAGAAGGTGTGGGATCCCCTGAAATTGGAGTTCCAGGTGGTTGTGAATCACCACGTGGATGCTGGGAATAGAACCAGGGTTGTTCCTGGGGAAGTTTTTCCTGGTAATCCAGGCAGGTCACGGGTCCACCTACTTGGGAGGTGATTTCTCGTCTGTCCCTGCTGCTGCTCTAGGGCAATGCTTCTCGACCTTCCTGACGCTGCTACATCTCCTCCTGCTGTGCTGACCCCGACCATAACATGATTCCGATGCTACTTCACAACTGTGATTTTCTACCGGTAAGATCGCGATGTAAATACCCGATCTACAGGGTATCTGATATGTGACCCCTGTGAAAGGACCTTTTGACCGCAAAGGGGGTCACAACTCACACATTGAGAAACACTGCTCTTGAGGCTAGGTACCATGTTTTAATTTTTCTTCATATCCCGAATGCTTAACACAGCAGACACTTAATTAGTGCGTATGAAAAAGGGTAAGGAGTCTCAGGAGGAGTCCTGCCTCCTTGTGTGCTATTTTTTTTAAAGATATTTATTTATTTATTTATTTATTTATTTATTTATTTATTTATTTATTTATTTATTTATTTACTTTTGGTTTTTTGAGGCAGGGTTTCTCTCTGTAGCCCTGGCTGTCCTGGAACTCGCTTTATAGCCCAGACTGGCCTTATTTATTTATTTATTTACTTTTGGTTTTTTGAGGCAGGGTTTCTCTCTGTAGCCCTGGCTGTCCTGGAACTCGCTTTATAGCCCAGACTGGCCTCGAACTTGCGGAGATCCACCTGCCTCTGCCTCTGCCTCCCGAGTGCTGGGATTAAAGGCCTGTGCCACCACTGCCCGGCCTTATTTTTATTTGTTAAATTAGGTGGATTAGATGTGTGTACACATATAAGCGTAGGTGCCCGAGGAAGAGGGTGTCGAATCTGCCTCCGGGTTCCCGCCTTGATTTCCCGCCTTGCATACTTTCGATGACAGCCTCCCCGGGTTGTTTCGTGTTTTAGCAACAGCGAAGCGAACAGATGACGGGGTGGCAGAAGAGTCCAGCTAAGGCTATTACCAGGAGAGTCCTTCCCGGAAAACAGCATAGAAAAGATTAGGAAGGAATACAAGAGAGTGTGGGGGTGGAGCCCCCAGACAGGAAGGCGCCCCCTGCTGAGGGTGTGGGGGAAAGAAGACGAGGTACAGGGGGCTCTGATCTCAGGTGGACTTGGTTAGTGTCGGGCACCAAAATCTCTGGTTACCGTGAGTCCAGAAACGATGGCACCCTGGGTAAATGATCTCCAAAGGCTTTCCTTTCACTCAATATTTGCCTTTGCAGGCAATCCCAAGGCAGGCCCGGTGTTAGACAACGGTGGTGCGCGGGCGCCATCTGCTGGCACATCACCATAAAGCACTGCTGGGAGAGGATGCCTAAGCCCGCAGGCTCCTCTTGAAGGATGTAAAGAGGGGGTGAGACCTTGTCAGCCGCGGGTGTCATTATGCAGGTCTGGGCACCGTGCTGTTGAGATTAGACAGGATTAGATAGGTGTGGCTTCGCTGTCCTCTCTAGAAGCAGGCGTCCTGGTCCTCTCCGGCTCTTAAAGTCTTTCTGCAACCACATTCCTGGGGCCCCCTTGGGCGCTGGGTGTAGGGATTGCATTGTGGACGTACCAGTTGGGGCTGGGCACACCACACGGTCACTTATTCTCTGCTTTTTTTGGCCAGTTGTAAAGGCAATCAAGGGCTGCTGAGAGAGGGAGACTCAGTCTCTCCCAGGGTTGGGCCCCCAACAGGTTATCTGTGTACATATGCGCAACACCGAACGGATTCAGTAGTGTGTGTGTGTGTGTGTGTGTGTGTGTGTGTGTGTGTGTGTGTGTAACAATGATTATAGAAGGAGATGTCAGTCATGAACTCGATAGGCCGGGGGAGTTAGAGCGAGGAGAGAGAGAGGTAGATATGAAATTCTAAGAACATTTAAAGGGGAAGTTACTACCCCCGCTGGTTACCTCTCATAGTGTATTCAATATACTTAGAAAAGAAAGAAAGAAGACAGTTCACATCAGGGACACAGCTCGACCCAAACTGAAGTGACCACGAGCATGTTGAGCGATCCTAACCTCACTCTCCGCGACGATACCTCAGACCGCTCCCCACCCGGCCCAGAAGCATATTTAAATGTCGTTAGTTTGAGAAGGAGCCATCATGGATACCAAGGGCTGTGCTCACACAGGACAGCAAAATGACGAACGTCAGATAACGAAAGACAGGTGGGGCAGTCCTTATCTAGAGGGGGGGAACCAGACTGAATTCTAAATTTGCCGTGATTAGAATATTTTTGTTGTTGTTTTCGGTTTTTCGAGACAGGGTTTCTCTGTGTAGCACATAATTTGCAAAATCCATTTATGTTTCTCGTGTGCCTCATGTACACAGTCTGATAGTAGCTTGATCTAATACATTTTAACTCGCCTTCATCCTGATTTCCATTCACAGGAGGCCAGGCACCGAGTTTTCCGTGTGTGGTGTATCATGCCGGCGTTCGGTGGGTTCGGATTCTGGGTTTCAGCATTTGGGTGAGGGACGCTCACTGCATAACATGAATGCATCTCTGAAGAACAAGTCAATATTGTGCTTTAAAAAAAAGGATTCCTGTGTTTATTGTATGCCCATGTGTATGTGCCGGAGTGTGGGTACACCATGTGAATGCAGCGCCTATGGATGCCAGTAGACGGTGTTGGATCCCTTAAACTGGGGTTACAGGTGGTTGTGAGTTCCCAGTCATGGGTGCTGGGAACTGAACTCAGGTTCTCTGCAGGAGCAATGGACTGACTATTAACTGTCTCTCCAGCCCCAACATTCTGCTTCTTAAAAGAAAGAAGCATTTGGTAGTGTACATAGACTATAATACCGATTTTTAAAGATTTATGGATTTATGTATATGAGTGGTCTACTTTCAAGTATGTTTGCAGGCCAGAAGAGGGCACCAGATCCCGCTGTAGATGGTTGTGAGCCACCATGTGGTTTCTGGGAATTGAACTCAGGTCCTCTGGAAGAGCAGCCAGTTTTCCTAACCACCGAGCCATCTCTCCGGCCCCTATAATACCGTTTTTTATAACACTTACAAACAAGAGACAACTCATTTTCATGGAAATGAAGCCCTTTGGTGATTTCAGCACTGCACACAAGGGAGAGAGCGACTCCAGGTGCAAACAGTGTGTTTGACTCCATCCACGGAGACGGCACAGACGAGCGTGCAGCTACCCCAGGCGGAGTCACTTTGAGAGAAGAAAGAAGATTGCTAATGCTGTCATCCCACACATCTCAAGACAAGCAGCCCAAGAGGCTCGGCCGAATGCCTGCAGCTCCGCGCTCTCCTCCAGTTCCATCAAGACAATGGAGAAACATAAACCGAGAAAGACCGCTGGTGGACTGACGCAGAGAAGGCAAAACCAGTGGGACTCTCGACTCTGCCTGCAGGCAGCCTCAGGTCCCACGCTAGGCTCTCAGGTGTGAAGGCCAGGGTGGAGGGGCAGTATAGGCACTCAGGAGGCTGAGGATCCTGAGTTCAAGGCTCATTTGGGGTACATAATAAAACCCTGTCTCAGCCAGGCAGCGGTGGCGCACACCTTTAATCCCAGCACTCAGGAGGCAGAGGCAGGTGGATCTCTGTGAGTTTGAGGTCAGCCTGGTCTACAGGGTGAGTTCCAGGACAGTCAGTTACACAGAGAAACCCTGTCCTGAAAATCCAGTAACAGGGCTGGAGAGATGGATCAGAGGTTAAGAGCACTGACTGCTCTTCCAAAGGTCCTGAGTTCAATTCCCAGCAACCACATGGTGGCTCACAACCACCTGTAATGAGATCTGGTGCCCTCTTCTGGCCTGCAGTCATACGTGCTGTATATATAATAAATAAATCTAAAAAAAAAATTAAAAAAAGAAAATCCAATAGTAATAGTAATAATAATAAACCTTGTCTCAAAATAAAATAATTTTTTAAATGAGAGAAGAGAGAGAGAGAGAGAGAGAGAGAGAGAGAGAGAGAGAGAGAGACCTCTACACTCGTATTCTCAGCAGCAATATCAACAGTAAACAAGAGGCTGATGCCGTTCAAGTCCTGTTGATAGATCAATGGCCACACAAAACTTGCTATGTGCACATAGTAGAATATTTGACTCTAAAAGGGAAGAGATTTCTGACACATATTGTAGTATGGATGGGTCTTGAGAACACTGCTCTGAGTAAAATAAGCCAGACACAAAATAACAAAGTCTAAAGGATTCTATCTCAGGTTCCAGGAGTGTTCAGAGTCACCGCATCAGAAAACAGAACAGTGGCCTTGAGGGTCTGTGGGCTTGAGGAACCGGAGGTGTTTAATAAAACAGTTTCAGAAGCTATGAAAAGCACTCTGGAGACCTTGGACTCAACAATGCAGATATTCTGTCAATGAGCTCAGGTGTTTTTGTTTTGTGTTTTTGTTTGTTTGTTTTGCTTTTTTTTTTTCAAGACAGGATCTCTCTACATAGTCCTGGCTGTCCTAGAACTCATTTTGTAGACCAGGCTGGCCTCAAACTCAGAGATCCTCCTGCCCCTGCCTCCTGAGTGCTGGGATTAAAGGTGTGCGCCACCACTGCCTAGCTGAACTCAGGTTTTTAATTTTATTTTTTTAAATGAAGAATCTTTTTTAGGCTTATTTACTTATATCATTTTATTTTGTTTATATTATGTCTTTTGCCAAGGTACCTTCTGATTGGTTTGATAAAGAGCTGGATGGCCAATAGCTATGCAGGAGAAGATAGGCTGGACTTCCCGGGAGAGAGAGGAAGAGGAGGGGGATCTAGGCACGTATATTATGCCAGCAAGACACCAGGGAAACACTGAAAAGGTCGGACATATGGTACAGAGTAGAGGTAACTGAGCCACTTGGCAGAATGTAGATTAATAAAAGCAGGTTAATTTAAGTTATAAGAGGTAGTGAGGGCCAGGTGGTGGTGGCGCACACCTTTAATCCCAGCACTCGGGAGGCAGAGGCAGGCGGATCTCTGTGAGTTCGAGGCCAGCCTGGTCTACAGATTGAGATCTAGGACAGGCTCCAAAGCTACACAGAGAAACCCTGTCTCGAAAAACGAAAACAAACAAACAAAAAAAGAGCTAGTGAGACAAGCCTAAGCTTTCCTGGTTACTAAGAGGTCTCTGTGTTGTTATTTGCGAGCTGACGGTCCCAAAAGAAAGTCGAACTACAGAAGGGGCATTGGACCCCCTGGAACTGGAGTTGTGGATGGCTCTGAGCCACCATGTCAGTGCTGAGGACTGAACACGGGTCTTCTGTTAGAGCAACCAGTGCTCTTAACCACTCGGCAGCTGAGCACTGTCTTCAGAAAGGGCTAAGACAGTAGATATTATGTTCTGGGCTTTTTTCCACCCACAAAGAAAGACAAGTAAGTAGATCACTAGCAATGCTGGAGTCCATGTGCAATCTGAGGAGGAGACAGCAGGCCTTGGAGACTACAAATCCCACTGCTTCTGTTTCCTCTGAGGAAAACGGAGTGATCATCAGAGCTCACTTCAGAGGGCCATGAAGGGTGAAGGAAAGCGATCACAGACTTCTCAGTCATGACAAGCGTCTCACAAATACGCAGACTCGGGGACTTTTCCACACGTTATCAAGGACAAAAAGCACATTTGACAGCCTGGCTAGCATGGTTGATTGCAGCTACGTAAAAGCAGAGAGTGTGTGGTGGTTTGGATGAGAACTGTGCCCTTGGCCCCTGTGTTCGAACACCCAGTTGATGGTGCTCTTGGGGTGTATGTTTTAGAACCTTTGAGACGTGGCCTTGCCGGAGAAGCACGTCTCTGGGGTGGGCTTTTGTCTGTTTGTTTGTTTGAGACAGGATGTCAATATTATCCTGGGCTGGCCTGGAACTCATTACGTAGACCAGGCTAGACTTGAATTCATAGGGATCTTCCTGCCTCTGCCTCCCAAGTGCCGGGATTGAAGGTGTGCGCCACCGCACCTGGCGGAGGATGCGGTTTGGAGAGTTCATGGCCTCTTCCTACTTCCATTTCTCTCCTGCTCTGCACTGTGGTTGAGGATGTGAGCGCTCAGCTTCCTGATCCAGCGGCCATGCCTGCTGCATGCCCTGCCTGCTGCATGCCCTGCCTGCTGCATGCCCTGCCTGCTGCATGCCCTGCCTGCTGCATGCCCTGCCTGCTGCCCGCCCTGCCTGCTGCCCGCCCTGCCTGCTGCATGCCCTGCCTGCTGCATGCCCTGCCTGCTGCATGCCCTGTCTGCTGCACACCATGTCTGCTGCCTGCCCTGCCTGCTGCATGCCCTGTCTGCTGCATGCTATGCCTCTCTGCTGTGACAGACTCTTATCCCCAATTCTTTCTTCCATAAGCTGCTTTATCACAACAACAGAAAGGTCACTAATACAAAGTCTCCCCGCCCCACACCCCCCTCCCACCTGTGTGTGAGAGGAATACATTAACAAGGTGGGAGAAATCCCCTTGACACCAGAACAGGACTTCAGCTAGAGAGGCGTCCAACACTTGTCACATGCTAGAGGAGCGTGGCACTTACTAGTCTAAGTAGAAACAGCACTAGTGGAATGTTTCTCAGCAAACATAGCTTATGCTTTTCCATCAGTAGGCTAAAAAGTAATCAAATGTCTATACCTAGTACTTCCTGACTACACAAATTGGAACTGAGTGTATGAATTTTCCTAAATCTCCAAACTGCTTAAACTCCAACTTAGAAGAGGACATTCGTCACAGAAGCTAATTACGGCACCAGAGAAGAAAGCTGTATGTGCAGAGACAGCCTGATGATACAGATAGGAAGCTCTCACAGGTTGCCATGGAGGCAGCTATCCTCAGTGGGCGTGGAGATGGAGGCTGAGGCAGAAGAGGCGGCCAGAAAAGCCCAGACACATCCCGGGCCACAGAGGTGGCTTAGGCTGGAGAGAAAACATTATGCAGCTAGTGTGTTGAGTGGTAAAGCAGAGGAAGGGGGGGGGAAGCCGGACCATCGGAGAGAACCGGAACCGTGGCACACTCAAGGAAGTGGGTAAGTACCGAGGGAGATGGGTCTTGAGGCAGCGCAGAGGCATCAGATCAGTGGCTCTCAACCTGCGGGTCACAACCCCCACGGGGGTCACACATCAGATTATCTTCCATATCAGGTATTTACATAACAATTCATAACAGCAAAATTACAGTTATGAAGTAGCAATTAAAGAATTTCATGGCTGGGGGTCACCACAACATTGAAGGGTCGCAGCGTTAGGAAGGTTGAGAACTGCATTAGACAGAAAAGAGGCCTCGGGAAGAATCAGGTGAAGCCAGGCTTGGTGGCACAGCCTGGAGTCCCAGCTATCGGGAGGTAGAGACAGGACGACCAGAAGTTCAAGGTCTTCCTTGGCGACGCAGTAAATATGAGGCCAGCCTGGCACACACAGGATCCTGTCTTCGGACAAAACAAAGATCTGAAAGACAGAACCTAGTGGCATCCAGCAATGACAGGGGACAAAGCCAGCCAAATTTATAAACCCGTGGATGGGAGGTTTCAAAAGATCAATAGCAAATGTGTAGGGAAGAGAGTTAGCGAACGGAGTGGATACGACGTCGGTTGTCCTCAGCCTGATAGACTCAGGACACTTTTAATATTCTCACGAAAGGGTCAACCTTCTGCCAGACATGAAGATGCAGGCAGAGGCAGAAGGATCTCAAGTTTGAGGCCAGCCTGAGCTACATAATTAGTGCAAAGACGAACTACGAGGAAGCCTCTCCCAAAATGCATCTGCTCAAGAGAAAAGCATGGGGCTGGAGAGATGGCTCAGATGGCTGGCTCAGTCCTGAGTTCAATTCCCGGCAACCGCACGGTGGCTCACAACCACCTGTAATGAGATCTGGCGCCCTCTTCTGGCCTGCAGGGACACAGGCAGACAGAACACTGGATACATAATAAATAAAATAAATCTTAAAAAAAAAAAGAGAGAGAGAGAAAAGCTCTTAAAAAAAAGAGAAAAACATGAAAACACACGCACAAGGCCATGAGATCCGGGCTTCCCTGAATAGTCTGAGTAAAGGATCCAAGACCAACATGTCTATAGTAGAAAGTTTATTTCCATCCATAAAATATATCACTAAACAGATGAAAAAGTTACATATTATTTTAAAACATAGATTTTTAAAAATCATATTTAGCTTCTCCTTAGCAAAAATGGTTTTTTATTTTGTTTTGTCTTGTGTTATGTATTTACAAGAATATACTATATTTCAGGTACATGGTTTCCCCTTCAAGCCAGCCTGGGAAGGCCTCCCGATGTAGGCAGGCTTGCCAATAAATCTCATTATTGGCTTTTGCCGCCTGTGCGGGGGGTGAGTTGATTTTCTAGAAGTCACTTTGGAGACAAGAGTAATGGCAGAGAGCATCTAGAGGAAAGTCCAGCGAAGCAGCAGCCGGTAGGGCGCTTCCTCTGAGGTGAGGCTAGTCTCGGCTCTGATCTACAGCCTGTGTAGGGGGCGGGCATGGAGGCCTCCTCACTAACTCCTTTCTCTATGAATCTTCGCCTGGGCCTGTGGCGATGGCGGCTCTGAGCCTGCCTCTCTGCTGACAGACCGCCTGTTTTGGTAGACGG